ATATACACTACATACCCTTGAAAAAGGTTATAGACACAGTCTTTTATACAGGAAATATATTTGCGCAACAGAAATATGTATCATTATAACAAATACCTAATACTGAAATCCTCTCTTCTAAACTATTGTGAAAGTTTTAATGTTGATTTTGATGACCTACCCACTAGCTGATGCCACTCTATACTTTTTCATTGTTTATTTTTAGATGAAGACTATTATCAGATTTTGGTCAAACATGCCACGAGTGTTCGCAGGAAAACATGAACAAAAATACAGTATAAGATAATTAAAGGAAAGACCTTCTACAAGAGAGTGTTTAAACTGAGATTGCGATGTACTTTAGAGCTTTTTCTGGTCTGTCTACAAAGCGGACACGCGACACACACACAAGGCCTCAGTCTTACTTTTTCTCTGTTACATGTACATCTATTTCATTTAGAGCGCATAAAGTTACACATTACAAATTGAAGACGGTGTGGAAACACTTTGTACTCGTCTCTAAACACGACTTTAATAAATCAGTTGGTTTAAGCGAAAACAATGATTCAGTCCGTTTTATTCAGTCTTTGTGTTTTAGGCGTCTTTTAGTCTTTTAGTTTTGTTCCAGGAGACAGGTACAACTGTAACTGCACGTTGTCATATCTGGCTGTTCTTCTTTAAGAAAACATGAGGCCAGCAGTTTTTAACATCTCTTAATTCTCTTAATTTTTCACGATTGTAAATGTTTAGATTTAGTCAGTTACAAAAGTGTCAGGTGTGAAGCTTATATGTATTTTTAAATAATTATAATAAAGTTACAGGTTTCCAGTAGTTGTTTGAACACTTGACAGAGTGTTACTCAAACAGTCCTCAGCATTATCTTTTAATAAAATATTCCATTGAATGTCACTAAGACAAATTCTGTAACAGCGTTCATAAATGAATAAACGTACAGATCTTTATAGTGATAATAAGCAAATATAGCCTAACAACACAAACAAAAATGCTTGTTCTAAGTCTTTCACGCACCAGGCTTATTCCTGGTAAGCATACCTAAAATTGCTAGATATCTTGACTTTATCCTAGTGTTTAACGGCGCTACTGCGCTAGGCCTCGTCACACCGTTGTGAGATATAAACCGCAGTTTTTCATGGCGTTACACTATGAAACCAGAACGATTTTATATGTTTCCATGATTTTGTTCGTTCTTTCTGATTGAATTTGTTTACCGCATTTTCATCACTCTTCTGTAGTATTTTCCCATCTAATTGTAACTGATAGTTTTCCTTACACTTTGTTTTCTAGATTTTGCTGTCATGTTAACAAGCTCTTTGTTCATATACACAATATTTCTGTCAATTTGCTTCATAAAATATCACTTTAACCCATCCTCCTCATTCGAGACATTTACGTTAATTATTAATACTATCCTAGTTTATATCAGATACAAGATCTCTTCCATCTACACTCTATTCCGTCTGCTCGTTTTCTTTTTATTAAATTACGTGTACTATGTGCACTGCATTAGACTATCACAACACTTAGTCCTCAACACTTCCTCAGAGGTTCTCATGAACTACCTGAGCTTTACACTTGTTTAGTTTGCAAGAACAACCGGTGATAATTTAAGAGATATTATATAATATTTAATAATAATATATAATAATCCATTTTGTTTGCTGTCAGGAGTGGGCGAGGCATACGCAAGTGAACGAGCGCTGCTGCGCACATGCACACTAAACAGACGGAGCGCAATAATTCTGAGTCAAATATGCATTTTGCTAAAATATTCATTGTTGGACATTAAATGTGCCTTTTGTAGAATTTTAAACATACATACTTGGTGGCTCCTGCCTTTTCTATGAAGAATCACTCTTGAAGCCTTGGGGTTTTGATGCCAGAAAAATAGACTTTTATTATCAGAGAGATAATGCAGTCTAGAGATAATCTGCAGAAAATCTGCCGAGTCTGTGTCTGGACAGTCTTTTATACTGTTTTTCCTCTAGGCGTGTTCAATATATTTCATACATATTGGTGGCTCCTGCCTTTTCTATGAAGAATCACTCTTGAAGCCTTGGGGTTTTGATGCCAGAAAAATAGACTTTTATTATCAGAGAGATAATGCAGTCTAGAGATGATCTGCAGAAAATCTCCCGAGTCTGTGTCTGGACAGTCTTTTATACTGTTTTTCCTCTAGGCGTGTTCAATATATTTCATACATATTTTTTACGGTTTACCTTTTTTGGCTGTGTTTCCAGTCTGCTACCAAGATGCAGAAAGGAAGCCTTAATTTTATGTTCCGTGAAAGTAAGGACCCCATCATATATTTTGTCTAATGTCAAAACAGGACACCATGTGTCTGCCCCTCATACAGACTTCTATACCATTCATATGCAGGCCTGTCTGCACCAAGCCAAATACATGATTATAATAGTAAAATAACTTGATACATAAATGGTTAGATTCACAATGATTATACTTGAACAATTCATAGTTTGACCAATAAAAATCTTCCACACATATAGGTGTATTCTTATGATAGCAGTAACTGTAAAGGGACTATTGTAATGGGTAAATAAAATGTAAGCTAATACAGTCCTAATTACTAGCTTACTACTTAATGTGTGTTTCTTATAGCACTTAAAATGTAGTTTTAATTTAGTGATTTTAACTTTTAGTTTAGTGATTTTAATGCTTTAAAGAGCAATGTTAGATTGTAAAGTTCTAATGCTATCTGTTCTAACTATAAAAGGTACAGCTGTCATAAAACCAGAGAAAAAGGCTGCATGGCTATGAAAGTATGTGAGAGAGTCAGTGGTAATATCCAGAACTTGCATTTCTATTGTTCAGTGTTAGAGGAGCTCAGCTTTAGTCTGACAGTTTGCCTGCCCTGGACCAGGTTAGCTTTGCTGTATGTGTTTCTCGCTGAATCACATCCTTGGTTGTTTGACACACCCCCAACCTACATTCAGAATTTGGTATTTAAATAAGGTTTAGGGGGCTCAGTTATACGCGGGGGACATTTCTGCATTGTTACAATGGACACCCCTGCTCCAAACACTCTTGAAACAAGAGCGATGTGTGTAACACTGCCGAGAAGTTCTGTTGAAACAGGTGAAGATACGCACTGGGAAAGACGTGGTCCGGCAAAGATTGGCCGTGAATATGAAGATTTTGTGAAGCAAGATTTCTCTGTGTCTGATGAACGCATGGGAAGATTTGTGTTTGACAAGATGCGGCAGACTGTGAAACTCTACGTTTTGGAATCTTACGAGGAATATACATCCGAATGTGACCACCTGCTTTTGACCGCCGTAGACTGGGCATACTTTTACAATCAAATTTGGAGAGAATTTAATTATGGTGGGAAAATTTGGTACTTTTTCCAGTGGGATGGTGCCACACAGGGAATGAGGTACCGTGCTACCAAGCCATCAGAAAAATGCCTATACGGCAGCATTTTTGTGCCACGTTGAAAAATAACTAAATAAATAAGATTAACGTCATAATATTTTAAGAATGATGTAAAAATTACGATAATAAAATCATGTTATATTGCGTGAAGTTAATGTGAAAATTCCGTCTATAGGCCTACTCCTCCAAAAACAAAAACAAAAAAAAGTCTGTGGCATCCGTCACTCTTTTGACTTTTTTTTAAAACTCTGATTGATCGTTTGTATTAAATTGTTCTGATTTTTTTTGAACATGCATTCAAATATTCATCTTTATTTCGTGCTGTAAATATTAAAGAGGAAAATAGCATTGATTCATATGCAGCTAGAACTGAAGCGAATTATCTCACTACAAATTAAAGAGCGTAAAAAGATGTTTATTGTTTGTATTTTATCATAAAATTGACAGAAGGCTGAGACTTTGTACTAACAAAGCACAAAGCTGCGATTATTGAGTGGCTTGCGTGCTACAAAAAATGAATGGACTTGAAAATGTAAACATCATTTCCAAGCATTATCCTATACCGTAAATAAAACAGTTTGTGAATAGTCACGATTCACGTAACGTTATTTACTTCAGAAAAATCAACAATAGGGTCTAAGTTACGTTAACCGAGCCCATAACGTTTGGGGGGGCCCGTACAAATTTTTTGCATATGGGCCCGGGGCTGACTCGCTACGCCACTATAATAACAATTATATATATATTTATATATATATATACATATATAAAATAAGAGCAAACATGGTCATAACATTGTGGTCAGTGGCCCTTGGCTTGGTAATGTTGGCAGAATTCGACCCTCTGTGAAAACGAATTGAGGAACCCTGGCCAAACTGTTTTGACCTTAACACAACGTGAATGTTGAGCGATCAAGCTGGCTAATTACAGTCCCTGATCCACGGGCAGGCACCTCCTCTCAACAAAGAGCCTGTGATCTCTGTAATGTTTTGTAGTTTGCTTGGTATGAAAGTAAGTACACAGATGCTTTTACATGCCTCTGACATAGTTTCGTGCTAGATCAGTCACAGACACAGAAACAACAGATCACTGCTTTTCATTCCTTTGTGTCGACAGTAATAATCCATTTGAATAAGCCCCTGCATTAATTGCTGCAATAATCATATGAACAAATCTCAAACATACCAAACTGTTTTGTGTGTGTGTTTAGTGATTTATTTTTGGGGGTTTTTTGACTGAAAGATTCAGAGAAAGCTAAATTGTTAGTTATTTCTGCTTTTAAAATCAAAAACAAATATAAATATGAATGCATAAACAAACAATGTAGTTTACTTCATAATGTGATTTTTTAATTTAAGGCTTTTAAGGCTTGGCTTTTTCACTGTGTTGTTTACTGGTTGAGGACACTGGGAGTGGTGCTTACAGTTGTACAGTCTAATGAGGTCACACCTTGGACACCCACCCCGCCCACTGTGCCATGACTGATATATATTTTCCTGCCCCTTTTACTACAGCCCACCAACAATAGCAGGGCTGCAGAGGAGCTGTCCTTGGTACTGATAGCTGGAAACGGTGTGAGCGAGTGCATGTGAGGGGGAGAGAGGAGGAGGGTGGAGGCGTGTTCTTTGTGTTGTGCAGCCCGAGTTAATCTGCTGTGGCATCTACGTAGAGAGGAGCCGTACATCCGAAAACCAGCACTGCTGTGAGGTGCCCAGCACAGCCCTTGCTCAAGTGTGTCCTTAAACAAAAAACAAGGATTCATTTCAAAAGTTCTTCTCCTGAGCCTGTGTGGTTCATCTTGGAAGACTCGAGGAGCTTTTTGCTTTGTGCTGTAGTAAGACTTTTAAAAGTGCATGTTGGTGGGAATTAGAAAGGATGTTTTTCTCAGGTTGTTCTCAAAATGTTGTTGCACTCTAGCAGGTGTAGCATGTACAGATGAAGAGGAGAGCATCTTTTAGGCTAGATTTACGTGCATACCCAGAGGGCTGAAGGTTCTTCAGCTACAAGGAGCTGCAGACAACTACTGTCACGGCTACATTCTCCCTGCCTCCTGCTTTTTGCACCTGAAACTTGGGAATTCGAGTTTATGTACCGGAGCTTGACTTTGAAATGGCTTGAAACTTTCCTGTTGGACTGGAGTTGGAATCTCAGGATATCAGTCCCAGGTGCTTTTGGGAAGACTACCTGAAATGGAGCTATCTGAAATGGGTGGCATTGTAGCCTGCAGGGACCTAGTTCCTCTGTAAGTACAAAACTCAACTGAGCTCTCGTCCCTTTCTTGAAACTTTACATTTATCCTTATTTTACAGACTTATGATTTCAGATGTAATAAACTGGATAAACTCTTTTGATTTGAAACTACAGCTGCATTCTCACACACACATGCAGACTTAAAATTTCACCCTGGCATGGACACTTTTCTTTGAAGATGGTGTCTCCATCTGTCTAGCTGTTACCTAGAAACATGTATTGTGTTCAGTTTGGAAAATAGGGTCATCTCTCCTCATAGGGCCGATTGTTGCAAATACTGTCAAATAAATAGGGAGGATAAGATGAGATGTTGGCAGAACATGCTAAAGAATCTACCAAGGAAACAGTTTAAATGGGAGAGGATAGTGAAATTACAGGATTAATGAGTGTATCTGATGCTTAGAAACAAGCCATTTCACAAGCCACCAAAAGTGTGCTGTATAATAGCATCACGCACAGATGCACAAAAAGTGCAAATATCCTTAAAGGGTTAGTTCACCCAAAAATGAAAATTCTGTCATTAATTACTCACCCTCATGTCAATTCAAACCCGTAAGACCTTTGTTCGTCTTCAGAACACAAATTAAGATATTTTTGATGGAATCTGAGAACTGTCTGACCCTGCATAGACAGCAATACATCTGAAATGTTCCCAAGTCCAGAAATGTAGCAAGGAGATATGTAAAATAATCCATGTGACATCAAGGGTTCAACCGTAATTTTACGAAGCTACGAGAATACTTTTTGTGTGCAAAAGAAGAAAAAAAAACGACTTTATTCAACAATTCGTTTATTATTATTTTATTTTATCTCCTTGCTACGTCTCTGGACTTGGGAACATTTCAGTTGTATTGCTGTCTATGCAGGATCAGACAGCTCTCAGATTCCATCAAAAATATCTTAATTTGTGTTCTGAAGATAAACGAAGGTCGTACAGGTTTGAGACGACATGAGGGTGAGTAATTAATGACAGAATTTTCATTTTTGGGTGAACTATCCCTTTAAAGCAAGATTAAATTACTTGTGAATCATAGAAATTCAAAGAATATATTAGATTTTCTTATCAAATTGTCAAATACTTTTTTCCTGTAAGCATAAACCTCACTGAATTATGTTAAACAAGACAAAAATTAGGAAATATTTTTTCCAATGAGCAAACGCAAACTTGCAACTTCTGCAAAGGTCCTACTGGCTAACTCAGCAAGGTCATGTGACATTGAACAGGTTCAAATGCAATAAGAAGAAAGTGAATATGAACTGAACACAACTGAAGATCTGCTCTGAAAACAAGTTTCTCAAAGGTCAACTGTAGATGATGCAGAGGATGCTGGACAACAGTGGTGGGTCTCTGAGCTGGAAGTGCGTTGCCCATTTGGCTGCTTTAAACCCCCCTTCCCCCCACCAACCTCCCTCCTCACACATAAATACTGCCCCTTACACATAAACAAGCATGTCCATATTCTTGGATCACTCTGAAAACACTGACCTACATAACACAGAGTGCTGTCTCCTCTCCTCCTCCTAGACTTCTGCAGATGTACATTGCAATAGACTATACATTCCACACTCTGCGTTTCTGCATCAATATGATTTTATGTGAACTTCGCACACCACACACAAACACATCCTGTTGAAAATATGGTTAATCAAGCTCAATAAATAGTCACACAACATGTTGTGTCTCACTAAATGCAGCCCATTACTCCACTAACACACAGTTCTTTCACTGTATGCTTCATAATCCAGGCTGATAAATGCATTGGCCTGTTTTCACGAGAACAAGGCTGTTAACAATGCTACAGATTACTCAAACTAATAAACAATTTCTTTGTATGTGTGCTCCTGAGGCTTAACCATCTCTCTGTGTTTGCTGACGGTGGGAGAATCTCATTGACCCAGAATCCTTGTTTACACAATAACCCATTAAAATAGCACTGCATATGAAATCAGCAGTTCTAAGCATATCTATCTATCTATCTATCTATCTATCTATGTATATATATACATATATATA